AAGAATGTTAAACTTTGACGCTCAATTCTAGTTGATAGCAAGATTCTACTCTCAAATAGAATGATCAAGAATGTTAAACTTTGACGCCCAATTCTAGTTGATAGCAAGATTCTAGTCTTCTAATATAGAAACTGAAAGAAGCAAGCATTAATACAACAATCTGCGTTAGGCCTGATAAGTATTGTTTCTTAACCATTTAAGTACAAGTGTTTATTGGGTTCACTATTGTTTTACCATATTCAAACATTTCTTTCCAACTTCTTAGTGTTTATCTACCCGAAATACAATTTTCTTTATTTTCAGATACATGCGCCTGTTAAGTAGAAAAGCCAAATAAATACCATGTGCGATACAACAATTGTGTTTAATACATCAGTACGGAAGACTAGTTATATAAATACTCCTGTACGTGACACCAGTTGTACCAACCTTCATTTACGATACACTAATCGTATCAATATACCAGAACGGTTATGAACTGTATTGATACATCGATAAGTTAGAATAGTGGTAGCAGTACACACGTATGTCAAACCAATCGTATCAACCCACCTTTGAAATAGATAATTTGTATTAATACTCCTGTACGACAAACAAGTTGTATTAATATTTCTGTACAGTAGAGCATTTGTATGATAAAGCAACTGCATCATTACACGTGTATAAAACTATAATACCACTCCTCTACCTAGGAGCACTTATATTAATATGGCTTTATTTAGATGGCGCAGTCATTCCACTAGGAGTGTCTCTCGAGATACACTTATAAGTGAATACATCCATACAAGAAACACACACTTAACAATTTATCTGTACCATAAAATATTTGTATTAATACACCCCCCCCCCGATGATGTTGTATTTAAATATACAATAGTTTTATCCTTGCACTCGAAAGAGAAACACTCGCGCTAATACATCTGAGGCGTACACCAATAGTAACATTGCAGTTTTACCTTCGCACAAAATTAGTTCTGTCAGTATAGCCAGAAATGCAGTACAGCTGCACCTAGTAACATTGGTAGTTTTTACTTACAGTTCCGAACCATTTAGATCAATACAACTAAAATCATAGAATAGGCGTATCAATAGAAATGATACCAGTTAACTTTTTTTTTATTACATTCGTACCATAGAATAGTCGGATATGCGTAGTTATGCCAAGAAAATTCTATTATTATACCTACAATTCTATCAGTATGGGCGTATCGCTTGTTCGCACCTTAAAATTATCATCTCAATATATATAGTACTATTGAACATCAGTAAGAATATACCGGCAAATGTCTGACGGATAGATTAAACTGTTTTAAAATTTCACCATATTCTAGCTTTAAAAATGTGAAACCTAAGACTGAAATCAGCGTACCTGAGTACTGTAGTCCGTAGATAAAAAGAAAGAAGTAATCTATCTAGTGAAAATTGTCTGTCAGTCATTATAATTTCAAACATTATTTTTAGTAGCAGCATTCTTAACTTTTAGATATTACATATTATTTATACTGTAGTTTTAGTGTTAGAAAACAGCGAGTTTGTTTCTCGACTAACTTACCAGAGGAATAGACTTTAGCAGATGCTTCGAGATTTATGACGTTA